CTGGCATTTAACGGGGCAGAGAGAAAGACAGAGGCTGTTCAATGTTCTTTCTGCTCCTCAAGGCCGGAAAGATCAAAGTGTGATTTGCCCTGCGCCGCTCACATGGGTCACGTGGGGTCAGGGCTCTGGAAATAGCGTCTGCTGCCGCCGTGTGGGGCCCACTAGGGTCTACACCTGGTGTATGTTGTGTCCTCCTTGCAGCCAGGTGCCGGGGTCCGGGGACTGATTCTCTGAATATAGGGGGCTCTATGGGCTTATTTCTCTCTCGGGTCTGGGGCCAGGGCAGCTCAACGTAGAAGGTATCGTCTGTGTGGGAGATTCCTCAGCTCAGCTGGTCCGTCTCAGGCCTTCTGAGTCAGGGGATGTCTCCTGGGGTTTGGGCAGTTGCCCCATTTTGTCTGGTCTTTGTTTTTTTGTCCCTGAGTTTCTATATCTCCTGGAGGATGGTGCCAAGTCGCCTGCCCTTGAGACTTCTGGATTTTTTTATTCCTAACTAGAAGACTAGTATGAATATTCATGATTTTGATATGAAAGTGTATTAATGAGTTCATTGGATGCTTCCTCAGACCCTGCTGGGGTGTATATTAGCTTTCTAAAATAAAAACAACAAAAATCTGAATTCTGAGATTCCTCTGGCCCCAGAGGTTTCGGATACAGCACTGTCCACCTGAACCTGTCGCTGCTGATGAACGAGCCGGGAGTTTGACAGGCTGGTAGCCTCTGGTCTCCTCCCTCAGGCTGCCGAGCAGCACCTGTTCTAGGACCCATGTGTACCCACTGAGGGAAACGTGATGAAGCGATGGGGGAAGGCTGTTCGTGGGGGATGGAGAACATTCAAGCACAGTGTCTAGGTTTCCAGGCTTAAAGGGGAGGTGGCCCTTCCTTGGGGGTAACCACCATGTCCCTGTGTGCCTTGCTGGGCGGGACCTGCCGCAGGCACAGGGAGGAGCTGGCAGCACTTGGTTCCTCTCACAGGTCTCACCTGTGGGTCCTGGAGCAGCAGGAAGGGGCGGTCAGGTGTCAGGAGGTTAAGGCTCAATGAGGAGATGGAAGGCACAGCCTCACTACCTCTCAGAGAGCCTTTCCCAGCACCACTGATGCCCCTAGAAGGTTCTCATGATTGGCCCGGCGGAGTTGTCTTAAGGTCAGCATCTCTCTTGCCTCCAGTTCACTGAATTTAGACTCAGATTTGTTTGCTTTAAGCTGAAAAGCTTATTTTAGTAGCTTATGTAAAAACCTCTCCTGGTCTCAGTGGGACTGATATGAGGCTGTAAAGTCAGAGCCTTCTCTGTCTGCTGTGATCCAGCCCTGCTGTCCAGGACTGTGGACGGTGCAGCCAAGGGGTGGACACGCTGACCTCTCGTACGTGTCACACACAAACCATTTTTTTTGCAATTGTAAAAGTTATATTCCTTTGGGGGGGGGCCGAGAGAGAAATTACATGAATAAGTGACGTCAAGGTGAATAATGCTAAGGGAAAATAGAGGCAGGGAAGAGCCTAAAGGGTAAGGGAATTCTATTTTAGATATACTTTTAAAAGTATATATATATTTTATTGTAGACAGATGTTCCCTACCTCCTATTTGCTCCCCTCCATCCAGCCCCTACCCTGCCCCAGGCCTTCACCACACTATTGCCCACACACAAACCATTTTTATCGAGTGTTATCTCTGCTGCAGAGGTTGGAGATGTGTTATTCAATTAATGCAGTTGAGGAAAAATAATCTGTCTTTGCCGTTCTTTTATGATTGAAGTTTACTTTAAGCAGCTTGAGGAATGTGAGTGTTTAGACAGAAGCACGCGTGAGGAGTGTGTGTGTGTGTGTGTGTGTGTGCGCGAGCATGTGGATGTGTATGTGTATGTGTAGAAGGAGCCTCGCTGGTCCAGGGGTCTGAGAAGGATGTGGCTAGGGATCTGGTCCCCAGCCTGCTGTGTCATGCTCTGCAGAGGCAAATGCAGGTTGCTTCTTACATAACTCTGGCTCTCAGAAGCGCTTGTTGATGGAAGGAGCTTTCTCATGTCTGCCTTAAATCCTTGACATTGAAGTCTAAGGTGATTTTTGGACAAGCAGCCGATGACTGCCCTGTAAGTCAAAAATATCTCTGTTATAACTTCAAATATGCAGGACCAGTCTCCATAAATCAGTGGCGCCCTTCAGCCCTTGGGTTTTGTAAAAAGGTGACCCAGTCATTTCCTGGGAGGTGGGGCACTGGAATCTGCATCTGTGTTTTGCAGGAATGGGAGCTTGGTTGAGACGTGGATCCACCAAACCTCCATCTTGCCTTCTCATCACACTCACATCCTCTCTCCCTTCTCTCTCTCTCCCTTCTCTCTCTCTCTCTCTCCCTCTCTCTCTCTCTCTCTCTCTCTCTCTCTCTCACACACACACACACACACACACACACACACACACACTCTCGCACTGTTTTCCCTCCTGTTGCCTTTTCTAATTTGGAAAACTCCATCTCAACACTTAGCTCCCGAAGTGGCCCCATGTCCAGGCGAGAGGAACTTGGTCCTCTCCCCTCCAGATCACAGGTCGGAACCCCTGCACTCCCCTGTCTGCTTGTCTTCACTGGCTGGGAGAAGGGAAAATCTATTTTCTCCCT